TGTTTTCTTTTCTGGTGCAATGAACAGATTACTTGACCTGAGCTTGCTTTTTCTTGCTTCTCTGACTTAAACTCGCCTGTATTTAATCACCACCTCCCGACTCCTTTACTGACTTCAGCATTTGAGATCCTGATGGTCTGAGCTAAACACAAATAAAGGATTTCACTCGTTTAGCAGACGTGAGGCGCAGCGCTGCTTCACACGCCAAGCGTCAGTTTGTGATCTGCTGCGCTTGCTTGGAAGTCCAACTCGGAGGAGGAGAGACATGAGCAGAGGGAAAGGATTAGAGAGACATTGCCTTTGCAGACAGAGCTGGATAAGCTTGAGGAGAAATGGATACCTAGGGATCAGCGTGTTTGAGATTTTATATGTGAGGGGAGACACGGGAAGGAGAATCTTGGTACAAAACTGCTGAGTCATGATGTGATGTTTATCCAAATGTGTGAAACAAAGCCAAAGTCAGCCTGCAAGCCTCAGCATCCTAAAGAAGAGGACTTGCCTGGTAGCATCACAGACAACATAAGTGGCTTATCTGGTGCATAAAAAACATATAAAAAACAAGGCTCAATAATCGTGTTTATTTTCGCGCCTGCCACCACATGCCACTGCTCACACAGCCGCTGTGTTTTTTTATCTTCGCTTTAGCAGATATGAAACGTTAGCAGCAGATGTTATAATACAAATTTAACTCAATGCTGCAAGTCAAACGCTAAGAAATAAGTGGATTTAAACTAAATAAAATGACATCAGCATTACCAAGTTGTGAATCAAAATGTATAATCTTTTATTATTTAATTTTTAAAAACTTAAAGTTCACTCAAACATGTATAATAGGGAGCCTAAGTCACTTCCGGACCACGGGTCCCCGGAAGAATGAAGAAAGTGAATGCAAGTCAATGGGGCTAAAAACGTTATTTTCTAATCACGCTTGTTATGTTCCGTGGATTTCACATATGATGTCCGTGAATTTTAAAGACGCATTTTGACACAAAGAACGTGCTTATTTTTGAACGTGGTAAATGCTGTTTTAGGTTTTGTGTGAAAAATAAGTCCAGGACTACAAATGCACTTCATGAAAGTGATGTCATCGAACCAGACACGGAGAAAACTGGGGGAAAATGGCTGTAAGATCAGCAAACTTTCCACAGGTGGAAAGAACCTCCATAAATCTGGTTATTTGGTAAGTAGCAGCTACTTTGGGGAGAGGAGATTATGCGGTGACGTCACATATGCGACATGCTGATTTCTAGTTTGTAGTCATGCTAATTACGAACTTTTACAAGCTAATAAATCTCAAAGTGCATGACTGGCGTCTGGCGTGGTCGAAACACCCATGATTAGTTTTCATTTAAATTGCAGTACATCATATGTGCGATCCAGGGCGTAAGGCAAAGCCGATCAGAAAATGACGTTTTTAGCCCCATTGACTTGCATTCATTATTTCGTTGTTCCAGGGACCCATGATGCAGAAGTGACTTAAGCTTGGTTTATGCTTGACGCATTCACTTTCCGCTTGGTGATGCGGCTTGCGGATGGAACGCGCTTCACAACTCGCAGCGTTTATGGTTCATTCGGCTTGCCTCTGCGGTGAGCCAATATTCTCCCAAACTGAACGGGGCAGCATGGAGCTCTACGGCATGCATCCAACACTACACCATAGTAGAAGTAGAAATTACTGTTTACAACATGGCATTCCAGCATTTTTAACAGCGTCCTCGTCTTTTCCGACAGTGCGAGCTATTCTTCTCCAAGAATTATTAACAACATGTAGATCACGGTGATCTTTGAGAGCTGAATCATACAAATGTCTGTATTTACAAACCTCTGCCATGCTAGTTCTTGCCGGTCCGCCATGTTTATCCACGTCCGACCATCCGCGTGGTTAGAAAATTTCCTAGGTGCACGGTGCGGAAATTTTGGGCGGTGGAGGGGCGTGGTTGTTAGAATTACGCAATTTTGACGCGCGGAGCCGTTCAAACCTCGCGGACGCGTCAAGTATAAACCAACCTTTAGGCTCCCTATAGTGGTTTGTTTTGAAATGCACTAAAAATAACCTCCGACCATTGTTCTTGCATTTCCTGATGGAAATGGACATAAAACGCTCGGGTCAGGAAAAGCCACACAGATCTGTCATACTGTTATTTCGCATTCATGGACTCGCCCATTTTGAAGGGGGAAGGTTGTGTTCATTTTTGAAGCCAGGAAAGGGCAGAGCTCATCTACACTAGTAGAAGCTAACCGTTAGCATTAGCAACTCCTTACCATGGCGGTACACATTCAGGCTTGTTTTATTAGTTGAGATAACACATCAGTGTTGCAGAGGAAACAGTCAGTGGAAGAGTTTAGCCAATCAGAGGAAAGATGTTTGCATATCATACACGTTAATGAGTAAGACTCTGGCTAACTTCTACTTCCTGAAACAGGAGTGCCAGAGCTCTTTTTTTTTCGACAGAGAACAACTCACAAGGCTTCATTCATACTTGTGACCACTTTAGGTTTATTTAAATAAATTAATTGAAAGAAGATATGTTATGACGTTAAAAGGATACAATGGTCATTAGCTCTACTCTACAAACATGTTTATGGAGTTATTTGCAAAAAATCCTCTCAGTAGTTGTATTGTTTACATTTTCAAGACCTTCCAAAATGAGCCATTTCAGGGCTCTGTCACTTTAAGGAAACAAGCTGGGGCTGGCCACGGCCACCCAGACCCAGCTCAGGCTGCTATAAGCTGAGAAGCTCTGATATCCAGGGAGGAGCTTAGAGTATAGCTGCTGTCCCTCCAGTCTGGTGAGGTGGAAGGTGGTATATGCTAAAGTCTCTGTTAGTGACATCACAAACAGAGACTTTTTAAAACAACTTATTCTAGACACATAATTCTTAAAACTAAACACTGACAGAAAACAGATGGACTTTTTACATTTGTTTTTTTTTAGAGACCACAGAAACCCACATGGCAGCATTAAAAAAATGCAAATTAGTGAGTTTCGTGTAAAACGTTCCCTTTCAATTATCATAATTTTTTGGCCGTATTATTTGATAAATGAAAATGTTGTCTTTGTTGTTTGTCCATTTTCCTCCATAAATACATTTTCTGATCGTCTCGATGGCTTAGATTACTAGATGTACAGGAAATGTGCCATGTGTTTCTGTGGAAACGGTTCTGTAGGCAGGCAGAGTGTGTATAGATTGTTTTGTGATCCATCCCCAGAGGATCTCTGATCGGTCATCTCCTCGAGGAGGTTCAGAAGCTGCCTGACAGAATCTAAATATTGACCATGAGCTATGCAGTTTCAGGAAATGAGTGGTGTTAAAGGGGCTGGTCGAGGAGTTCAGGGTGGAATCTTTGTGCTTCTTCTCCTAAGACCTCTATGAGTGATGTACAGCAGCACCGCCATCGATCAGACCGCCTCCTACATGAGACGTGCTGCCGAGGCTTCTGTTGCACACCGAGCGCCGTTTGGTAAACGTTTCCCAGGAAGTGACATCATTCGTTTAGTGAGAAATCACACCAAGATTTGGTCCAGTTTTCTGATCTCTGTTAATCTTGAGCTCTTGTGAGGATGCATGAATATTTACTATGAAACATGATCTATTTTCTTCCCATGAAATCTGATCCGAGATCTATTAGTGACATGAATTTGCAGTATTGATGCAGAGCTTTGTCTGCACGCAGTTGCCGCTCCATTTCCTCTGTTTGTTCACAGAGGAGTGAACACAAAATGGGCAGCTGTGAGTCGGGACCGTATTGATTGGAAGTGAGATTAACGCGCTTGGCTCGAGGAGAAATGGTTCAGGCCTGGTTTCTGTGGTCATGGTGGTGTGAATGATTACATCCTATACGCTCGCTCCACAGACTGTAAACACACCGAAAGTGGATAAAACTGTCATCAACAATCTGTTCAAAACTTTGACTACATCTTCATGCTGTCTTTTCTTTTATTGCAATTCCTCAAGAAAGCCTGGAGGTGATGTCTCCAACTTTAGCAGGAAGGTTAATTTAGTTTAAAGGAAGAACAAATTAGATTTTAGTGGTCTAAGTCAAGGTGGATATAGACTTATGCCAGTCTTGTATTATACATCTGATAAATAAGGAAAGGCAGGATTTCATTCTGAAATCTGGCACAAGTAGATATGTGGGGCTGACATTCCGATGAGCATCCCGGATTGGATTTGTATGGCAGTACTTGGTTTCAAATCTCTGGTTCTTTATCCACCATTCTGCAATCTGTGAGGTGGTTTCACTTTTACCTTCTTACCAATAACGCTGGGGTTTGTAGCGGGATGTTATCAAGGAGAGGAAGAGGAGGGTATAGCTCCCATTTCTGCAGATTGAGACCTAATATCAGTATCAAAGAACAAAAATCTCGATTGAAAGGTAAAAAATTATATATTCATTGACAAAACCTTTGTTTAATGGGTTGTTGGTGGTTTTTGAGAGCTTCAACCAGCAAATCCCTCTCCTCAGAAAATAAGCTCATAACTCAGAATAATGGAGAAAAAGAGAGAATTTGTGATGTTTGGAGAAGTAATTAACAGCAGAGTTGTAATCTGAGTAGTTAAACTACAAAAACACCATGTTTTATGGTTTTCTGTTAAACAAGGTTGTTGGAATCACTTTTATTGATTAAAGACCTGAAATGTATCAGTTATTCCATCATCCCTACTTTAATTTATTAGATGAATTAGCTGACACAGTTGCTTTTAATGGGCTGTGATTATTTCTTGCTGAGGCTAACTGCACAGAAAGAGAAACCCTGGTGATTAAAACTGAGTCGCAGAAAGTGTAAAGTTCCACTTTGAACGCATTTGTACTATACTGATGAACTATTTAGTTTAAAAAAAATCCCAAAATATTGTTTTATTAGTTTTGCTAATACAAAAGAGAGGATTTTATGTTATTTTTTCTGATTATTCGTTTGCAACAAATGTGTGCAATACCACAAAAAAAAAAGGTGGAAAATATCATTCAAAGTGCACGTCTTTGTCTGTTTTGTCAGATATGGTCCAGTTCTGATGGCGCAGTTGGAGCTGTTTGAGACCAGGACGCCGCCCGCAGAGGCCCGGCCCGTTGAGCTGGATGTGTTGGGGTTCTTGGATTCATTCGGGGAGGAAAACAGCACGGCAGAGAGATGCTTCCGCTCACACTCTCGCAGCAGCGTCCTCCAGGGTCTGCCCTTTGGTGGGGTGCCCACAGTCCTCCTCATAAACGTGGTGCTTTGGATGGTACAGACACACGCACGCACACACACGCACGCACACATGCATGCTTGCATCAGTTAGAGGTGCAACTGAAAATGTCAAGTGGAGTTCATGCTCAGATATCGCTTTTTGGGGGGGAACTCTGCAGCTTAACTGACAGTAAGGATATATCTCGACTGCAAACACCTTGTAACATTATGAAGGGTACAGATAGAACTCTCAGTCTGATACACATCTCCGATCTGGATAGAAATAAAGCTGCATTAGTGTTGTGCATTATATTTAATGGTGGGATTAGATTTGAGGATGTTTTTGTTGTATTGAAACCATGCTAACATATGTTTGCATCTAAATATTTTTGTGATTTTTCTTTTCTTTGCACAGTTTGCCTCCTTCACTGCCCTCACCTCTGGGTGTTAAATTTAACACTTAAACTTAAAAGAAGCTACCAAAAATAAATGCAGCATAAACTTTAAAGGGGAAAGATTGAGTTTTTTCTTAAGTTATAACAGTTCTGTGGTTGATACTAAACATTTATTAAGGTTTTGGCAGAAAATCCCTCTCACATGAAGTGATTTCAGCTGTTTTATCCTTGATATTTTCAGTACCTTACATAATGAGCCGTTTCAGGGTTCTGTCACTTTAAGAAAAGAAGCCGTAGCTCGCCAGCCCCACCCCTTCCCTGCTGTGGCTGCTATAGGCTGAGAAGCTCCAACATCAAGGAAGGGGTCAGAGTAGAGCTGTGAGAAGTGGTTCAGTGCTATTTTTCCTTATTTGTGACATCTGTAATGTTTTGTATTTGGTTGGAAGTAGCAGGCAGTATTTTTTATCCATGTTCTTTATAAAAATAAAAGACAAGCATACAGGCATCCATCTTTATTCTAGCAGCACTTCTTAAGAGCTCCTCGGAACCACCCACAGCATCTCTATGTATACACATAACACTCTACTGCCACCAAGTGGTTCAGAACACAATGTCACGAGGCTTTTTGATTTTAAACACATAATTCCTAAAATCAAACACTGACAGAAAACTGATGGATGATTTTTTAAATAATGCAAAAAATGAGATCAGCTTGGTGATTTGTTAAACAGTTAATGCAAAGACACAATTTAAATGTTATATTAAATGAAAGTAAGCAAGTAAAAATTTAAAAAAGGTTTTAAAAAATTATGAAAAAGTAATAATTTCTCAATAGATAGCTGTTACCCTGGCGATGGTCATGACTGGTCTTATAAAACATTTAAATACGTCAGAGGATTTTTTGGGGGGTGTTTTTCACTGACCAGTGTTCTCAACCTCACAGGGGTGTAAATCATTAGTTTGATCCCGATACGGTGTTAAATCGATACAGTGGATTGCGATTGCATATTTGCGGAACTTCAAAATAAAGCTATTTTCAAAATAAAAGTGTTTTTGATCAATAGATTTTCTATCAGTTTTTGCATTTTGGATTGATGACCAAACTGTTACACTCCTAAAAGTTATAATGTATGTTTGGAGAAGCTTAATATGAAATTTCTGAAAAAGTCTGAAAACAAACCAAATATTTTAAACGAATCGACTGTCCAAACACAACAATTGTTTTGTTGTCTCTATTTTTATCTTGACTTAATTTTTGTTTCACAGGAACAAAAACAAACACACAATATTCATGTCAAACATGTCAAGTTAAAAAGGCGTATACAAACCCTGTTTACAAACACAGATGCGTGTTTTTATGGAAGTGTTCCAGATAATAATACGCTTCTGCTTTCAGCTGTCAGCTGGCTCGGTTCCTCAGTCGGGCCTTTTCAGTCGCCCCCAATCTGCCACCTCCGTCGTTTAATTGGCTGATTTTATGACTGTTGGGTTGTCAAGCCAACACAGCGCCGGCTCTTAATGACGAGGATGAGTCGAAGCGTGCTCCCCTCCAGGTGACGGGAGCACGCCCCCGCGTTATTTCCATAATCACAATAAATTAAAGATGCCTGGGATCATTGGGGGGGGCATGCTTCAGGACAGGAAGATGTGCAACAACAACAACAAGCAGGGAGCTGGTCACCATGAAAACATCAACATGCTAAATGTTAGCTCATTACTCATCCTCAGCCAATCTGTGTTTTCACAGCTTCTAGGATGAATCATTCTACATTTATTAGAGCTCTTGTCCATTAACACTTCTGTCATCTCCAGCAGCTCTGATGAGCTAATGATTTATTGCTGCCATGAAAATCAAAAGCCCATCAGCACTTTTACTCATTTACATGCATTAGCATTAGCATACGTCCACCACCATCCTAGATGTTTCACCAAGAGTTTTTAGCTTGGATTCCACTTTTGTGACTGACTGATTTCTCTTTATTTTTTTGCATTTGTTGTTAAATCGTGTCTTTTTCAGAATTACTTTTGATTTCAACCACATGTCTTCATGTGTGCACACTGACCTCTCAGATAGTTTCCAAGACAACCACATTTTAGAAAGTAAAAATAAGAGGACGGTATATTGTTTGTTGCAGCTGAATGGTTGTATTGCTTTTGAAACCATAAGGAGAAGCTACACCCAGAACGGAGACGTGTAAACCAGCGCTGAAATGGTCTCCTCTTTTTACAGATGTTACTGCTCGTCTTTTCCTGTTTGAGGAAAGCGGCGTGGGACTACGGCCGACTGGCTCTGCTGATGGAGAACGACAGGTAAATCCCCCCTTTGATGGTTTACTCAGAAAAAAATATAAAATCTTATTTTCCTTAACCAACTTCTGGGGTGTTTCATCATTTAAGATGGAGTGGTAGCAGAGGGCAAATCCTCTGATGCAGCAGCTCCCTCTGCTGAGGGGGAGCGGCGCAGGCTCAGTGGTGGAAGGAAAAACACACATTTGATATTTTATTTTTAGAATATCAGATTTTACAGCTATACTTGTATGAATGTGGTCAGAGGTACCAAAACATCTGTTGTTTTTAAGTTTTACTTTCCAGGGAAATCAAAAATGTACGTACACACACACACACACACACGTTTGTGTTTTAAGAACTAATTTAGGCAAAATTATGTGAATTTGGGAGATTGATTAAAAGAAAAGTTGCACAATTTAAAGGGTTGGATTATTTTCAGAAACAAATAAATGCAGACATTTTACATAACATACCGGATTGTGGCTTCAGCTTGTGAAGTAATTGGCAGTGTTTTCGTGTTGCTGTTTTATAAAAACATGATTTTTTTTCCCTTATCTCATCCATCAACATTTGGAAAATCCTTTGTTGTTATGGCTCCTGTGTGCTTTTCTACTGCCTGACCTGCATCTCCTTTCCCGCTGAGCTCTGGCTTGATTAGTTCTGCCTGACCAACGGCAGCTTTACCGCTCTCAGAGGGGCGAGCAGCCTCTGAGCGCTTCGCTCTCACAGTAATTGAATTATGCTGCATAATTTGACATGCTGCTGAACCGTCAGCGGTAAAACCCACAGACAAATATTCTCAAATTCTAATCCAATCACAGCTTATCAGATTGGTCCATTTGTACGGCAAGCCTTCTACACACATAAACAAGTGTTTTTGTCTCGCCCTCAGTCTCACGTCCCTGTTTTATGGAGAACCAAGTGAGAAAGAGAAATCTCCTTCAGAATCGAGTCCCTCGGACTCTGAGACCAAGGACATGGTGAGTTTTAGGGTTCAATATTTTTCCCGGACTGTATTTAGCACAGATTTTTTAAATATTATTATTATTGCATTCATTGAACATTAATTTCAAAGTCATGTTCATAACTTAAAGGAACACAAAGGAACCGGCGTTCCCTGCAGCAAACTTGCTACGGCGCTGCAGAGAGGAACGTGTGCCTGTTGTTGTGCAACCTCCTGATCCACACACACAATGCTTTTCTTCCCAATGCCGTTATAGTTGTGCATTCTACCAGTTTTTATGTTCATGCAGAAATGAGTTGTAAGTAATTAAAATTGGCCTCGATTTTGACATTGAAACTTTGAGATTTAAACACAGAATTGTATTTTTTTTAATAATCAAACGAGTGAAAAGTTTCCTTTTTTTTCATTGAATTTCAAACACATTCTAACAGATACGGTGTTGAACTGAAACCGTCATTGAAATGTTTGTTTTATTATCCAGAAAATGTATTGGTCTAAAATACACCTCTAGGACTCATTTCATTAGTTTTATTTGTTTTTATTTTTAATTTAGAAAGTTTAGTCTTTTGGTTTATCACCAAGGAAACAAAAGGTGTGTGTATAATTAGATTATTGTTTAGTTTTTAAATCACATTTTCAGTTTATTTTGAACAATATCCCTCAATAAAAAAATGGCCTATTTGACTATTTTTCAATTAACTTCACAAATGCATTTATTAATAGATTTGAACATTTAGAATGTGTGTTTACTTGTTTTTTTTTTCAAGTGCATTTTCATCTCAGTTTAGCACTTTGAGCTCAGACATGGAGTCTCGCATAATGACGAATTTTTGTAGCTGGGACCCTCGTAAATCTTTCTGCATGTGAAAGTCTAACAAACTGGATGCTTATGAAAGCAGCAACACACACATCCATGCAATAACTGGCTCTGCTCCTCCACTGGTGCCACTCGGAGTCCTTTTAGTCCGTGAAACTATAATTAGAATAAACAAACATCGCATGTGAGGGGGAGACTGGTGGAGTCCAGCCATCTGCACTCTGCTAAATATTTTTAAGAAATACTATCATTACCAATCCCAAAGAGGCTGCACAGACAGCCTGTCTTGCTCTCGTTTATTTACAGTAATTATACCAAAGTGTCACTGTTAATTAGGCAGTTATATATTCACGTGAGGAAAAGCCAGCATGCTGAGTTTTTATAATACAATCCAGTTGTTTGAAATGGCGCTGCGCTGACTCAGCCAAACTGCTTGTGGCTCCCTGACACCTGTGTGATAGACTGAGGTCACTTGCTGCATGTTTATAACACTGCAAGTCAAATAGTCAGACTGGAGTCGTCGGCCTGAGCCCACACAGAGCTGAGGCTGCAGCAAACTGATTACAGCTCCAGGATGGCCCCGTTAAACCTCCATGTCACTCTGCTGACCTTACGCAGATTAAACACACACACACAGATGCAGCCAGATGTTTGTAGAAGTGGCTGCAAGTGTCTTTAATAATAAAATCTGCTCTTCTTCCAGGGCTTCTGCTCATGGCTTTCATCTCTTTACCATATGAAGTAAGTCACCACAAGGAAGTAATTTTAGCCTCCTCTCATTTCGTCTGATGTCGCCACCTAATGTAAAGTCTATGATGTAGCCCATTTAGCAGCAGGGTAAACCCGTCTGGGCCCATATGACCGCTGGTGCTGGTGCCGTGGTTTTTCTGTTGGATATTTGCTCAAGTCTGACTTCACGTTGCAGATTTAGGCCTGTAAAACTTGTCCTTGCCTTGGTTTCCATAGTATCATGGTGGCGTTTGGGTGATTCTGTTTTTAGCTTTTGTACCCACGGCTCACCCAAGGATCTCTGCGACATTGTAAACCCACCCTGCCATTTCACAATGTGTGGGCTCGTACATGCTCTTCTTCTCTGCCTCTTTCTATTTTATGACACTGGGTTTGCTGAAAGTAACCACAGCTTCTCTCACACAGACTATTGGTACCAATCACTGCCTGTGATAATAGTCGTTATGCAGGTTTTGTGTATTAAAAAAAAACAATTTACAGGATTCTTCTTTGTTTTAAGGTGCAGAAAGTTTCCCTACTGTTTGTTTGTGCAGGGATGAGGAGATCCGTAGCAAATGTGGCATTGACGCCGTCACGTACCTGTCCTTCCAGCGCCACATCCTGCTGCTCATGACAGTGGTGTCCCTGCTGTCTTTGGCCGTCATCCTTCCGGTCAACTTTTCTGGGAATCTTCAAGGTATTTTAGTTTTCACGGTATAATTTAAAGCAAAAATCCAGGGAAATCTTTAACCTCAAGAGACGTCTGACTCTAAAGAACAGGAGGGACAGACCACACAGACAGAGGAACACGCATTCACGAAGGAAAATGTGTACCGGGCAAATAAACAGAAAATGCAGCTTTAACCTAAATGAGACTAAGCTGCTGTTCTCCTACAAAACAGGAATCAGCATTAAAAATGACTATCTAAAATTAATAATCATTAAGGGAGCGTCTTGCACAGAAGTGGCTAAATAAGTCAGGTTGTGGTAATAGAAAGTATCTCATTTCCTCCTGCGACACACATGTAGGTGTCAGGGGTGAGTTGGTGCATAATCAGCTGTTAAAGAGCAGCAGAGAAGTCTTTTGGCAGATTGTTTTGTTTGGAAGCATTGGGAACGCTGTTCCACAACAGGATGAAGAGAGGAGCTTTATGAGGTCTGTGAGGAAACTGGGCTGTTCAGACAAACCTTCATCTGGACCAGTGTGTCACCCCCTGGTCTATTAAATGAACCCAACACAGGCTGCCATGGAAACAAAAGGATTCACAATTTAAGCCAGGAGTGAGGCAGAATTCATGGAGATTCACAAAGAAACCAAGATGTCATGTGTGATTATTTCTACAGGAGACGGTCCTGAAAACTTTGGAAGAACAACTCTGGCTAACGTTAGCGCAAAGTAAGTGTGACGTAGCAGGAATGACTTCAGATCTGATGAAACGAGACAGAACTAGGAATAAAAATGAGGTTGCCTGTTGTGCTTTGAAGGGACAGCTTTCTCTGGCTGCACAGCATCTTTGCTCTGGTTTACTTCATCATCACTTTGCTGTGCATGGCTCACCACTCGACGCGGCTGGAGTTCAGAGGAGATGAGAAGGTCTGACAAGTGGAATTTTAACCAACTTTTGTGTTTTATTTGAAAGAAACTCATATTTCTGAACTTATTTCAGGTGTCCAGGACCCTGATGATCACCTCCATCCCCAGAGAAATCTCCGACCCGGGACTCATCACCAAACACTTTCAGTACACACCTTTTATTCTCTAGTTTATTGTTAAGTCCAGTTAAATCTCTTAAAAGTTTTCCATCGGGGAGCTTGCTTCTTCATTTTGCACATCTGCAATGTTTAAAATCTGTCTCCATTTCTCCACCCACTAGTGAGGCCTACCCCAGCTGCACCGTCACCGACATCCGCTTCTGCTTTGATGTCCACAAGCTGATGAAGCTGGACCTGGAGCGGTACCGCAAACTTTCACAGATCTAGCGAACCGCTTCTGAATGTTGGACCTGTTCCTGATGATGGTGTGTTTTCTAGGCGGAAGGCAATGAAAGGCAGGTTGTATTTCACCACGAAGGCCCAAAAGGAAGGAAAGGTCATGATCATGACCCATCCGTGCGCTCAGATCTTCTGCTGTGACATATGTGGCTTTGAAAAGGTTAGTTTTGTCACAGCTCATATCATTCAGTGAGGTGTAAAATAATGGTTTCACCACAGGATGGCGCTGCAATGCAGATGTGAAAAAAAAACATGCAACAGTACTCCTGCTTGTGCAAATAGACGAAATGTGTCTGGTAATGAAAGATGAACCAATTGAGCTCCTAATTACTCTGCAGGTTGATGCAGAACAGTACTACAGCGAGTTAGAGGAGAAGCGGACTGATGAGTTTAACGCCGAGAAGAACCGCATCACCATGAAGAGGCTGGGCATCGCCTTTGTGACTTTTCGAGATGAGAGGATGACAGCTGTGTAAGCGAGCTGCAATTTTAAGGTTTGTAGCGTTGATGCATGAGTTAACGCATCAACTTTTTCCTTGTTGCCTTCCAGCATTGTGAAGGACTATAGTCGTGTGCACTGTCGACGCAGACCTCAGCAGTCCAGCGTCACCACAGTGGTGCAATCGCACAAGTGGGGTGTCAGCTATGCACCTGCTCCCAGTGACATCATCTGGTGAGTAGCATGAATTAAACAGAACTTTAGCCGTAGAGTTTTCCAAAACTCAGCAAAGCTCGATACTTTATGATCCTGTTTTTGGTGGTGATTGGCTGTAGCCTTTCCCAGCATGCATTGCATAAATAATCCACGACTGAAACATTCATGCAAATGCATTGATACCAGAACACCCAAAGAAAACTCACACACACACACCATTTTTGAGTTTAATATCTAATTTTACACAACAGCTGAGCGGCGGTCAAGTCAAATTGCAGAGGGCTCCATGGGATGGGGGGCACGCTTTGCAAAAAAATGGCTGCCGGCTATTGCCTACATTATATCATATAATAGGGACTGACTTTAGGATTTCTACAAAACTCCAGGTTTCTGTGCAGGTTGGATGCAGTTCAGAATTTTTCACTTGGAAATCAAAATCTAGTTATGCAACGACAGAAATGAACACGAAGGGCTAAAGTGGTGTTGAAATGTGTTGTGTGTGCCTCATTCCTCATTGATTTTGCACCACATTCTGGTCTTTATGGATTTGTTTTTACATGAGATGAACAATGCGACCAGTTTTAGTTGAGCTCCGCAGGAACATTGTTTTCCAGCCTGTCTGGTTTCCGGCGCATTTCTGCTGTAAAGCAGAAGGAGAACGGAGTGTAGATCCAAAACGTTCAGATGCTCTGATTTTTTCCCCCATTAGGGAAAACCTGTCGGTGTGTGGCTCACGCTGGTGGCTCCGTTGCGTCCTCCTCAACATCCTCCTCTTCCTGCTGCTCTTCTTCTTCACCACTCCCGCCATCATCGTCAACACCATGGATAAGTTCAACGTCACCAGGCCCATGGAGAGTTTGAGGGTTAGATGTCCGCTGCTTTAAACGATGTCAGAGTCATGTTTTGGCCCCAGTTTCTGTTTCTAACCAGTGTGCTGTTGGATGCAGAGCCCAGTTATCACCCAGTTCCTTCCAACCCTCCTGCTGTGGATGTTTTCAGTGCTGCTGCCTTTCATCGTCTATTACTCCGCCTTCTTTGAGTCCCACTGGACCAGGTACTCACCCCTGACACTCTGAAATAAAAAGACTGATCCTTGTCATTATCAAACAGACGTCTGTGTGCAGCTGCTCCATTCTGCCCTCCTTTTTTTTCCTAATTTATTAGTTATGTTTCTTTAATTTTACCCCCTTTCTCTTTTTATTCTCTCCCTCCTTCTCCCCGTCACTCTCACTGCTCTATTATATTCCGGGCAGGTTGTCATAGAGACCTTCATGGGAGAATAATGATATGCACTGTAGTCGCCATGCGCCGTCGCTCTGCACATGGTGACCAGCAGGAGGAGGAGGAGGGGCAGAGCGACTGTGCATTGGGAGAAAACCTCACCTATAAGCACCCTTTCTTTACATAACCACCCCCACAAACGTTTGTGTGCAGGCGTGATGTGTGAAGGACCGAATGCAACTATTTTATTGGACTGAGAATCAATCTTGTAGCTCTCTAATATCAGCTGATTGTACATTTGAAACTATTTTCAGTCAGAAATGTATTCGTTTGAGGGAGGCTGGGACGTTTTCTAGCTTAATGCATAATCTTGTGATGTCTCAGGTCTGTTGAGAACCAGGTGACGATGCACAAGTGCTTTTTGCTGCTGGTGTTCATGGTCATCATCCTCCCCTCACTCGGTCTGTCAAGGTACAGTTTCTCCAAGTTCTCTCACAAAACCAGTACACTGCTGGGAAAAGGCATTTGCCTCCTTCCAGATTCACTCTGTTTCAGATCAGCAAACAAGGTTCAGTACCACACAAAGATCCGGAGTAAATAGAAAAAACTGTTTTCAAATGGTGCTTTATTTAGAGAACAAGGCGATCACAACCGACCTGGCCATATGTGTGAGAGTAGTTCCCCTGTTAAATCAAACATCAGCTGTGATTAGACACATTATTTGGAAAGCTGAGCTCAGCTTCACAACCCAGAGGCGATATCCCTGTCTACCCGTCTGACAACATGGCTAAAGCCTCTTCCACACCGAATGTGGAACAGATGCAGTCCGGTTTCCGTACGGTTCCCACAGAGATCAAAGGTCCTTGAGGCCAGTCGGAGCATTCACACCGGATCTAGATGCTGAGCTCTGGAAAATTTTGGCATGGAGGTTTTCGTGAGGTTGAAGAAATGACGTGAGCCAGACAGGAAGTGAAACACACTTTACCGAGGTGCATCCGGGTTATTTCAAAATAAAACCTGTAACGTATGTTATTTTAGCCAGGTTTTATTTTATCATTAAAGACAGGTGTTTCTGTTCGGCGTATGGTAGATCTCTTTATTTTACAGGTACATTTTAAAATGTATTGTCAACTTTTCGAATCATTTGATGCTGTTGTGTTGTCTGGAGACTTTCAGAACACAAGCTGCAGTCAGCGTGAACGGCAGTTCGTCCGCAAGCCATTTGGAAACCAGACCGCCTCCATCCAGCGTTCTGTGTGAAACGAGCTTTAGGCTGAAAGATCTCAAAAAGCAGCGCACCTACCCTGTTGTAAAGAAACTCAAGAACAAAGGAACCCAGAACAACATCCAAAACACTGCAGGCCTCACGCTTCACGTGAGAAGGATTTTGATTAAATAACTTTATAAGCATGTTTTTATAGACCACAGAACTACTATATATATAACTGAAAGAAATAATTCATAGTAGGTCCCCTCTAAGGTCAGAGTTCATGATCTGATGATAGAAAGAGACTGGGAAGGAAACTGAATCAATGGGAATGTTCAAAGGCTCATTCGGCAAAAATATCTAGATGATCCACCGGACTTTTGGGGAAATATTCTATGGACTAACAGAAACATTTTAGGTGTGTGTGGCATTACATTTGGAATAAAACTAACTCTGGATTTCAGAAAAACACAGCAACAGTCAAACATGGTGATGGTAGTGTGATGGTATGTGGCTGCTTTGATGCTTGAGGTTCAGGACCGTTTGCTACTTTTATTTTTCCCACGGATCGGGATGGTTTGGGTTTATTTTTCTCTTTCAGAAAGGTTATCGTTTTGCTGATCTAAAACATTTAGGTGTGACAAAAAAGCTAAATCAGCAAAAACCTGCAAGAGGGCAAATCTGTCACAGCATTATATGATGACCTAATAAATTCACATTTTATGTAATCCTTTAAATGTCGCATTTTGTCTGTTCAGCCTCGACCTCTTCTTCGCCTGGCTTTTTGATGTCAACTTCCTGGATGAAAAGGAGATCAAATTCCAGTGAGATTCCTGTTTTTTAATTTAGTAAAATTTAAGAGGAAGTACAGCTGTGGCAATGACTTTTCTTTATAGGTGTGTGTTTCTTCCTGACAATGGAGCGTTTTTTGTGAACTACGTCATCACCTCCAGTTTGATCGGCACATCCATGGAGCTGCTTCGAATTCCCGCGCTGACGGTCTACGCCCTTCGCCTCTGCTTTGCAAAATCCCAGGCTGAGCGGATTCACGTGAAAAGGGTTTGGTCCCTTTTTTTTGTGCTTTAATGCCTTTTTTTCTATGAAAATATGTAAAAGCTGATAGAATTTGTTTTTGGGTTTTTTCTGCAGAGTCAAGCATACGAGTTTCAGTTTGGTCTGGAGTATGCGTGGACCATGTGTATCTTTGCTGTCAGTATGACCTACAGCATCACATGTCCCATCATCGCGCCCTTTGGTGAGCAGTGTGTTCTGTTTGATCATCTCACCTGGTTCTTTGATGTCCTCCTCAGTCGTGCATGTGTGTGTGAGCGTACGCTCGCTTCATTTCTCCTCACACTGCAACCTCGCTCCTCTTCTGCCTGCCAGTCCGCTGCAGACTGTGTGAATATGCTGCTGTAGTCCCAGACACTCAGACACGGCGATCTGCAAGCCAGACGCCCACTCTGCTCCTGTCTCTGCCCGAAGCTCACCAACTCTGTTTACTTCTGTAGGACCTAAACTATGCTTACACACAATCTTCACCTGTCGTTTTTGTTATCTCATAAACCTTTGGTGAAACCATATTGCTCCAAGCTGCAGAACAATAATGTTTTTTAAGCAGACCTTAGACATGTTTTTTTTTAATAGTGTAGTTTGGTCTTCCCTTTGTGCAAGTGAGTAAAGTTTGTTTACAAACCCTCTAGATCAGGGGTGTCAAACTCATACTCACACGGGGCCAAAATGAAACTCAGGGACGGAGTCGAGGGCCAAACTTAATATTTTTTGAAAAAGTGACGGCAAATTTGCACATTTTCTTTATCAACATATATGCAATTGTGAACCTTTAAATTTGGAAACAAACATATTTCTGCATTAACACTGAATGTGGAATAACCAAATTACACACGAGCAAGTCAGTTTTAAATAAAAGGCATCAGTGGTATTCATTACTTGTGGTATAATCAGCATTTTTAAAATCTTTTAAATCTTTTAAATCTTTTAAATCTTTTCTCACGGGCCAACAACAAAATAAAAATATTATTTTATCTTAAATGAAAATGCAACATCTCACCTGTTAACTTTCATGTTCCTGTTCCAGCCAGATACCTGCATCATGGGGTTGATCTGAGCTGAGGAGGAGACTCCTGTTGTTTTGTTCATCTTCATCATAATAATGACAACATTAGATGACAACAGGTGCTCACATAGGTTTGTGTTGCTGAACATGTCTGAGCAGCTTGACCACGTTGTTGTGTGTCGGGGAGGAAACATGACAGCAACCACAGAGTCATGCTGGTTTGAGCGTGTCGCTGTTCACTGGAGTTATATCAGCTCTGTCTGGACGTTAGTTGGAAAACTTTCTCTTTTAGTCATGTACACGTTACTGAGCGCCTAGAATCTCCGTTTCTGGGCTTCAACGTCAGAAAATAGCTGAGTGAACTCGGCGCTGAGTGAGAGGAGTGTTTAGTTTGTCCGAGACAGCGGAGCTGCAGACACCGGCAGCAGGCGCTGGAAAAAACACAAAGGAGGGGGCGCGTCGGCTCCGCGCTGATGCCGCAAAGCATCATGGGAGTTGTAGTCTTTGCGGTAAAATCGGCCAGCGGGCCAGTTTTAATATGTTTTTGATATTTATCTTGCGGGCCACATAAAAATGCTCCGCGGGCCGCATCTGGCCCGCGGGCCTTGAGTCTGACATATGTGCTCTAGATGCATTAACTTTTTTGCCTTACTCCTTATTCATAAGGATCATTTAAGACAAGAAAGATCACAAAAAACGATCATAAAACAAATTAATAACTATCATTAACAAAAGAGATAATATGTGTAATTTTGTTCTTTCTGTCTATCCAGGTCTTCTTTATGTAATCCTGAAACACATGGTGGACAGATACAACATCTACTATGCATACGTTCCCACCAAACTCAACCAGAAGATCCACAGAGCAGCCATCAGTCAGGTCATCGTGGCTCCCAGTCTCTGCATGTTCTGGCTGCTCTTCTTCTCAGTACTCAGATTAGGTATTTTATCTCTCCTGATGCTCAAAAGTAACATCAACGATCAAAGCTAAACGTGTTTTTCTGCACCGTGACAGGTCCAGTTCATCCCATCACCTTGTTCACATCTGTGTCTCTCATCTTCTGCGTTGCCTGTTATCTTTTCCGCATGTGCCTTGAAAAGACGCCAAACAAGTCAACAAGCTACCAGGTCTGACACACACACACACACACACACACATTCAAATATGCACTAACAAGGAAACAAATCATCTCTTTTCAATATTTTTCATGTTGTTGTTCCAGATGTCAGATCAAGCAGCTGCAGGAATGTTCACCGATTCAGACAGGACCGCCACAACGTCCACCACCGCCTCCAACGTACAGTAAAGCTTTTAAAAGATAATTCAATTAGTTTAAAATAATTTTTCTGAGCTTTTCTGATATGAATCGAGAAGGCTGTTCAAGTGTTGGATGAGCTACAAAGTCTGCTGCTCATCTATGACTGGCTCCTAATGCGTGGCTGCATAACAAGTGATCTTTTAAAATATTGAATTATCGAAAGAAAAAAGCGTGTTTGGACCTTTAGAACACTGGAAGTTGTGAGACTTTTGTGTAGCTCTCCTTTTTTCTGCCCAGACAGTGTGTTTGGGATCACTGTCATGCTGGAAGATTCTGCCATGTTTCATCTTTAATGCTCTCACTGATGGAAGGAGGTTTTTGCCCAAAACCTCACGATGCATGACAACATTCATTCTTTCCTTAATACGGATCAGTCGTCTGGGTCCCTTTGCAGGAAAGCAGCCCCAAAGCATAATATTTCCACCCCCATGCTTCACAGTGGAGCTTTTGGCATGCAAATCAGCATTCTTCCCCCTCCAAACCTGGAGAGTGATGTTCATACCAAACAGTTCTATTATAGTCTCGTCATCTCACCACATGACTTTCTCCCAATCCTCCTCCTGGATGATCAAAATGATCTCTAGCAAACTTTAGATGGGTTTGGACACATGTTGGCTTGAGCCAGAGGACCTTTGGAGCGCTACAGGATTTTAATCCATGACATCATCGTGTGTAACTTTTTTAGGTCGTCGAGCAAAAACCACCTCATTACCACCACCACCCACCTTTAGTTCTGGGCTGTTTCCTCACTTTCCTTAACATTTTTACCCCAGAATGTGAGATCTTGCATGAAACCCCAGGTCAAGGGAGATTGTCAGTGATTTTTGCAAACATTTTCCAATAATTGCCTCAACAGCTGATCTCCTCACCAGGCTGCTTGCCTGTTGAAGATCAGCTCATCCTAGTCAAGTGCAGGGGTCTAATCTTGTCCCTGGTGCACTTAAACTCTCTGGTCTTGGCTGTATTGAAGGTTGGAGGCTAATTGGAAACACTATTATATAAAAATAAATTGTTTTAAAAAATTATATAACGTGATTTCCTGGATTTTGTTTCACATTTTGTCTCTCACAGTTGTACCTGTGATGAAAATTACTGAACTCTCTCACTCAGTTGGACAGCTTGCCCAATTGTTTGGTTGCCAAAAACTTTTTTGCCCCACATTACATGTAGGAGTGAAAACAAATCCAGATTCTGGACACTCGGTTTAAGTGAGTCACACGGTCCTAACCTTCATGCTGGTTTGTCTCCTTTAGCTGTTTGTAGCGTCCGTCTTGCTGGAGCCGGAGCTGGCTTTAACTCCGATGCCCTCTCCAGCTCACCACGGATACGGCGCCATGGCGAGTTCCCAGAGTTCAGGTCACGGCCCAGTGGCGGGAGGGGAGGCTGAGGAAGAGGAACACACCCAGACTCGTGAGACTGAGCTCCAGGACCCTGCGGACCTCTGTGTCTCCAGCCCGCTCATTGGCAGCCCTGTTATTTTCCAGTGACACCAACCCCCTCCCCCTGAAACTAAAGAGTTCAATGCTGGAATGCTGCATTTTCATCACCGACCCCCTCAGGCTCTAATTTGGCAGCATGTGCTTTTTTGAAGGGATGAGGAAAACTGGAGCTGAACCCAACAGAATTAAAGAAGTCAGCAAATGTTTCAAAGGCACATCGAGAAACGATAACAACAAGCTAATTTACAGATAAAATAACGCAAACTCCTAAAGCTGTCTCCAGCTGGCTTCATTTGCAAGATAAATAGGTGGAATTGGAGAGACGACGTCCATGCTGTGCCTCTTGAACATGAGCTTGGGGGGGTGAAAGTTCCCTACTGAGTGGGTGGTGTGAGCAGGCTTGCCCCGGCAGACTGTCAGAGTGGTCCGGCCATGGGTGATATGTGCTTCCTCTGTGAGACTGAAAGTGAGGGCAGCGAGTTGTGAAGCCATCTGCAGCGAGAGAGCAGACAGACGGAGGGCCGAATGCAACTCTGAGATGTACTGACGCATATTCTCACCGCCAAGGCGTAAAGCAGCTTCTCTGAGCCTATAGCTCCTTGTAATTTCTTTCAATTTAAGGTTGCTATTTTTGCTACAATATTTTTGATGTATTTGATGTTGTGAGTTGGGCTGGGGGGGTGTTAAATATTCTGATAGGGATTTGTACATAATCCATTTGTATTTCTTTTCTTATTTAATAGCCTAATATTTTTGGAAAAGTGCTAATTGACTTTGTTGCTATGAGTCTGATTGTAAATACACTGTAAGAAAGGGAATGTAGAATTTATTTAAACATGTTATGTAAACTAACCTAGTTGCTTAAATATAAAGAGTAATATACGTTTACTTTTACTATAACAATGTATATTAGTTTTAAAATTTACATAACTAGGTTTAGAGCAATCGGTCGACACAACTTGATTAAGTAAATTCAACATTTATTTCTTACAGTGTATCTGGTGTGGTGGACGAAGACATCTCTCGTCAAGGTCTACTTTTATGTTGCACTTTTATAGAAAGCAACAAAATTATATATATTTTTTGTCTTTTGTGTTCTTTAGGCTGACTTTATTCTGTGTGGTTTTGCTTTCAGAAAAACAGACAATCAGGAAAACCAAATGGAATAGAAAACATTTTGATATAAAGTCTAAAATAGGTTTGAAATGCTAAAACAAGCTTGTGGGTCATGACTAAAACCTGGCTTTCGCAGTGTTTCATATTTAAACAGAAAAAGAAAAGGAAGGGTTTCAATTTAATTTAAAATGTTTAGAAAAAGTTGACATCCTATTTCTAGGAAAATGTTGCCAATAAAAACATTTCAGCAATTCTATAATATTTCAGTTTGTCTAATTATTGTACTAAATATTGACAATGTGTTTACAGTTAGCTAAAAGAGTCAAGGTTGTGTCTTTTAGCTACTTCTAGCGGTCGTTACATTTTTCACAGTAAAAGAAGTTAAGATAAATGTAGTAAATTTGAAAATAAGTGAGAATACGTTTCACAAAACACACACACACAAACAACTGAAACTGGTAAAATAGTTTCTTCAATGAAACATTCAGAGTTTTTTTCTGTTTAAGACTCTTATTGTGAAGCTTTTTATTTTTTTTAACTTCCTCTGCGGAAGCTGCACCAGAAGTAGCCAGAAGGTTGTATCTTGATGTTTATAAAATGTCTCGTTTTTATAGAAAACATTATTTACGACAATGATTTTATTAACAAATGCAGTCGGTTCGTTTCCATGGACTTTACTGGATTGAATTTATTTTTATTTTTTTACATTTTGTCTATTTCTTTTCACGTGGCCCTAACAAGCATCATAGAAACCAACTTCAGAAATTAGTTCCCAAAATTCTGAATTATTATTTTCTGTTATGAGAAATGTGTAAAAACCAAAGCATACACAAAACAAATGAAATTTATCCTTGAAAATCTTCAAATCTTCTCAAAATGGGAAATATTTTAAACCAGTTCCACATGTTGCCAGAAGTCCCAGGGCCAGTTCTAGACTGGCACATTTGAGGGGCAGCGCCCCCTTCTTGCCCCAGTGCAGAAGCGGCCTTGAGAAGCCCTCGTGTACACAAATGTACATTTTTTCAAGGATGCATTCATATTTCCTGACCAGAGAAGCTTATTGAATCCCTAATTTGTATAAATGGTATCAAAAAATGTCGATACAAAACATGTTTATAGCTTTGTTGCAAATGCAAACAATAAAATCAAATCAATGTCATGGTAAACTCAAACGTCTGTTTCACTGATTTTTAGTTGGTGCTTTCACATTTGCATTTGCACATCAGGCTTTGTATTTTGGAATTTTTATATAGTTTTTTCCTCATGATTTATTTATTTGTTTTCTCATGTCAGCTGAATGTTGGCTGTTTTTCGTGTTCTCTGCTGTGCTTTGAAGGAACTCTGCTAATCCAGCATGGTCTGAAATAAGCTGCATGGACAAAAACCAAGACACGATACCACAAAAGTTTTCAGAGAAATTTGTTTCATTTATGTTCAGGATTTAAATTTTTAAAAAAACTTTAAGTGGTTTTTATCTTTTAAGCTTATTTTTCATGCGTGTGTGGAATAATGTAAAAGGATACAGTCCCTCCGGATTATTTAATAATACTTGATAGTAACAGATTAGTAACAATTGTGATTACATAAACATAAATTAAATCAAAGGTTGTTTTCCAATAACTTTTTAGAAAATCTAAAATAAAACAAATCTGTGGGATTTTAGCTCTAACAGAGAATAAGACTGATCACTTTCATGCTTATCTAGACTTTTTGTGGCTGGAAATTGTTTCTATTTGTTCATAAAGACCTTTATTATAAACAATTTAAAATCTGAGTTTTTCTGTTCAAATGACAGACCTGCAAGTCACGACCTGCCCTTAGTTTAACCCATCAGGTTATATTTAACACACTAAACCCAGCTACTTCTCCTAATCTCTACAAAATAAAGAGCTGAGGTTTAAAAAAAGAACAATTTGTGGTTCTGCTGCAGCTGCTAAAGAGACCGTCCTCCTCTAAAATCACATAGCTTTAGTTTTCACTCCAGTTCAAAATGAAAGAGAGGAAACGTGATGTGTTAACTCGCAGGATTTAGATTTCCTGGAAACCAGATTATATTCCACCCAGGCTGGTGGGTGCAGCTGCTGGATGTATATTTAATGCACAGAAACCTGTCATTGAAATCCTGATGTACAAATTTAAACATGACTAAGTATTTCTTTAAAACCTCTCAGTGTGAATTTCTGATCTTGGCACATCTCTGAAGGAAAATAACAACACTGGCAGGCGGCTGTTCAGGAATTCAGGAGCATGTTAGCTTTGTGTTGGCTGTGAGGTGTGTGTCTGCATACAAACTACCCCTGGGACAATCCCCTGCACGTCCTACAGATATCTTCAGGGTTTACGTAAGGCAGTTGGCAGCTGACTTTCATGTGAACGGCAGAAGATTGTTCTGTAAGGTGGTATTTCCCTTCAGAGCACGTCGTTTTATCATTAAACACGAGGCGTCTTCACTGCTCAGGGTTAAGAAAGAAGACAGAGAAGTCCTTGACATTTCTCATGTCACCCGTGGCAACTGCTGAGAGCATCCCTGTCAGTGAAAGGTGAATTCCTTTGGGAGTGTGGCCTGTCGCCTACCTTTCTCCTGCCCAGATGCTCAGAATAGAAAATGCCTCTGCCTCCTGCTGCAAACATATTGTCTCTCCTGCATGGGTCAGTTTCAGAATGCAAATGCAGCCTCAGAAGTTCTTGCTGTTACACAATCCGAGCAAAGCATGTGAGAGGAAAAACTGGAAAAGAAAGCATCGATAATCTTCCTAATTTGATTGTTGTGGTTGTTGCCAGGCAGAAGCGATCGGAGGGAGCTTCATTAGCCTGAAGCTGTGTGCACAGTCACCGTTCTCCTCTCCTTGATATGATTTAAGAGAATTAATTGACAGAGTGAGCTCTGCTCTGCTTTGCTCTTGTATCAAACTCTTTCACACACATACATGGCCATCGCTTAACAGTTGCCATGACAACGTTCAATGCCCCTTGATTCCAAAACACATTGCAGACTTTCTAAAAATAATGTGTGTTGTCTTTTCTCAGACTCCTCTCCAGACGACAGTCCTCACTTACTCTTCAAGGTAAGGTTGTATAACTAAAACCTGGATAATTTATGCCCATGAAGGGAATAATCCCAGGTTAGATTAGCTTGCAGACATAACGCTCGAGTCTCCGTGCATATTTAGGATGAGACAAACTGAATGTTGAGGTTTTCCTGCAGGCTGAAGAGAGACTTGAAGGAAACTTGCTCACTAGGACAGAGATGCTGTGTCCAGAGCAGAGAGACAGATTGAGGCCATGTCAGCGGCCACCTCAGCAGCAGAGCGGACAGCTAACTCAAAGATGTGACTTTTCAGAGGTGCAACCAAACTGTGTGTGACAGAAATAATCCCAGTGTCTTAAGATAACTCCTCCCTTCCCTGCTTCCCCTAACTGTTGCTTCATACGGGGGGCTGAAAGTAAAACAACACATTCAGATGTTTACAGCTATATTTTACAAATTTAGCTTCAAAATATAATAAATAGAAAGATTTAGAACCAAATTATGTTTAAAATGAAAATGTGGAGCAAGAATATAAAACTAAAAAAATATTTTTTACATCTAATATAAATTTAAATCTAAATATTGAAAACTAAATCTAAATTTAGTTAAAACCAAGTTTTGAGAATCAGATCCAAATATATGAAACTGAACCTAAACAGTTTGATCAGACATAAATTTAAATATTTAGTTCATTTTAAAATATGAACATAAATATCAACATTTAGAACCAAATGCCATCTAAATATTGAAAGTTGAACCTACATTTTTTAAAATCTTAGATAAAGGTAAATAAAAATATTTAGATTGACATTTTAATATCATTTTAATCCTCAACATCTGGAAATCTGTGCAGCTGCATGAGAAAGTGGGCTGCTTAGCCTGGAGTCTCCTTCATTCCTGATTCAACGCTCGACTCTTATGTAACTCTTGAAAGTGCTGTCAGCGGGAAGGATGTGCTTTGTGTGACTGGTTTGTAAATTTGTGTTGTCTCAGATCGAGATAAAAACACACTGACATCCTTTAGCAGAAATACCCACAGATGACT